TTCCAATGAGAAACAACTCTCGCATAGTGAAACCACTGCAGGTGAAAAGTACTAACTTGATTTTACTGCCTCTTCTCTACTTTAAAATATCATATGTGAGACATCATGGTGAAATCAGGCGTTCGTCAAAATAATAAATCGAAGGAACAGGCATTTTTCTACCAACTACCAGTTTGGCAATTTTTATCGAGTTTTTGTATTTTTGGCTGAACACCTTTCACGTCATATAAAAACATATTTCCATGAGAATTTTACTGAAAAATGTTGATTAAAAGTACAAAATATGTAATTTTTTAGTTTTCAGGAACTCTCAAGATATTGAAGTTAACAAATTTTGGCCGACATTTTTTCGCTAATCTTATCACTCAAACCAGTCAACCCCACCTCATTCAATTGCTAATATCTTGACTTCTATTCAAGATAGATGATCATTTGTTTCAATGAAGGCAAAGCAAATACATAAGCTTTCAGGTGATACTAGTAACTCCACATGCCCAAAAATTGACGAACGCCTGATTCCACCGCACCGTGACACATATATATAAATGGCTTGGTGGGAGCCAGTGGGAGGTCACTTATTCCTCCCCACTTGGTCGAGGAATAGTCCCAGGTCAACTAAGGGAATTCTACATTGCTCGAGGGAAAACCAGACCCTATGCTTTCCCATGAGAGTAACGAGACCATAGACAGAAGTAGCAGACTCATTACATGAGCCTTGGAAACTGTTTAATAATAGAAAGTTCTGAAAAAACTGTGCTTATTTTTCTGGAAGAGAAAAAATAAGCCTATGGTCAGGTTATTGATAATTACTGGTGGGAGAAGCAGGATGGAGAGACATAGACAAAACGGGCAACAGCAAAAAAGTAGTACCTGCCAATGGCATCCTAAAACTACCTGTGTGCTAACAGTATTTAACCCAACATTTAAAAAATGTGTTTTGAAGGGGTAAATTTATATTAACCCATCATTTGGTGCGTTGAAAAGAGTAGCTTCAGAGTTTTTTAAAAATTTTAAAACATACTAATACAATTTTTAGCCTACTATAATAATCATGCTTATACATACACTTCACAACTGCACAATTTATTACCCATTTCAGGAACACTGACAGATATCAAAGTCAACTTAAGCAGCAAATAGACAAAAGGATATGAAACATACCAATCATCTCTTCCTTGACTTAAGATAGTATTAGACACTGAAATTGCATTATTTGATTTTCAAATTAGTTTTATCTCCCACAGAACAAGCCTTCACAAAGAAAAACACTGTTGTAAACAAGTGTAATGTACTGTTCATGTGCAACAGAACAATTAATTAACTGACACAGCCAAAGGAACATAGCAAAAAATAGACATTTGCAGGAAAAAATATGAAGTACAAGTACAAACTTGAACCAGTTCTTCTACTTGTCCACTTCTACACACAGAGAAAAAGAAGTTATCCCCTATATTCAGTCACGTAAACAACACAAGAATATTATATTTATACACAAGGCATTTATCCTTTAGCAGCACTGACCTAAGGATAAGATCACATTGCATTATTTTGATTTAGGACTGTAAAGGTTGATCTTAGTTTATATTTATACAACAGAATTTAAAGAAAAAATGACTAATAAATTCTGCTTTGTACACAAGTAAAAATTCATACACACATTGTCAAAACACACATTGACGCAATAATACTTTTTTGTCTGTGTCAGTCATCTCCTTCCCACAGAAGCTTCAGTTTGAAAATGTTTGATAAATTCTTTGATTTCCATTTAAAAATTCAAACAACAACACAGACTGAGATATACTCTGACAAAAAGCGAGACAAAATTGAAAGAAAAAATAGGCAGACAACAGGGTCAAATATGAACACTTTTATAATGTTTGTGCTGAAGCTGAAAATGTTCACCCACATCATTTAGAGGATAGGAAGACAGCTGTGCGGAAAGGGAAAAAAAAAAATTCCATTGAGGTAAACACAGTACAAGTATTTGGAGATCAAAACCAGTGCAGTGAGTGGATGTGGTCAAGCATGGGAAAGGGGAAATGGTATATGATGATAAGCAGGGAGTGACCAGGGTAATAGTATTTCTCAGCTCATCTTTTGCACTCTCTACTTTCACCTTCAGTTCCAAAATTGAGCCAGTACCATGAATGGTTTATCTGACACAGAAATTCAAGCTCTCAAAGGAAAAACAAAGGCAAATCCCAATTACAATGCAAATTATAAATGGCAGAAGACTCTCAGGAACACGTTGGTAACTTTTACATAACAAACGTTGCACATTCCAGACACTTGTGGATCAATGGCACAGTTTTTTTTTCAAGAGTAAGCACAGAAAAACAACTTTTTCAACTGTGTACAGAACAATGGAGAGTATCTTGAATAACAATAGATCCATTAAACTAAATCAATAACTCCTCAAGTTTTCATTGTTTTGATTTTGGCATAGACTAAGAGAGCACCGTGTTAGTACACTACACACAAAAAGACCCAACATGTAATATAGATAAAAATAAGAATCATTGTGTGTAATAAATAAATATAAAAAAGGGGACTAACACTGCTGACATGGTTAAAATGGCCTGTGTTACTAACAAAAAAATTGCTCACTGACATTGCATGTTTACTCAGGGAGCAGAGAAACAGGACGAAGTCATTTTTATTAAAGCACATTTTTTTTCAGGTGATGATTTTTTACATGCAGATACTTTACTTTTTTTTTCTGACCAGAACAAGTATTGCCGATCAGAACTTTTAAAGTTGTTGCATATCTAATGTATAGAATTCAGTGCTCAAGAAAGTAAGTCATCAATAAAAATATGCCTATCAATTTTATCCCTTTAAATAGAATTTTGCTTTTTTCAGGCAGAGTAGGTCAGGGGCCTCTCTTCTCCTATTGCATATTAGAAACAATAAATGTTTGTATTGATGCATACATACGCCAGTTTATATAAAATTATTGAAACTGTTATCAAAATCTCAATTACAAAGACATGTAAATGTAAAATAACATGCATAGTCATTCTCTGAGGTACCCTTGTCCTTTTCAGGTATTATAAGAAGTAGAAATAAGCTTATAATTTTCAACACGTTTGTAGTAATTGTTTCACTTAGCTTTCAATCTCACACATGTAATACTAACAATTCTCCTTAATGTTTAAAAAGTAGATTCATCATATTTACTATTCTAATGTCAAACATGGAACTCAGCACTTAGTAAGAAATGAGAGGAGAAAAAAGACACAAGTTTTCTACTATGGGGAAGCAACAGAACAACAGAATTTACAATACGAAATTTTAAAAACTAGAAGCTGTAAACCACTTCACATATTAGGTTCCACTATCAACAGCAGTAGGAACCTGATCAACAGGTAAACATCAGAATTTGTAACATTTCCACAACATGTGGAATCTATCATAAAAAATTTGGTGGAACAGAAATCTCAGCACTAAGATCAAGATAACTGGAGATGAAAGCAGACTACAGAACATGATTAGAGAGAAGGAAATTTGAAAGAAGAAGATTTTTTAAAGAAGAAAATTTTACGCTGCTGTCATGTTTCAAACCCAGGACCTCTTGAATGAAAGGCAAACACCGTAACCCTAGACCACGCCCCCCCCCCCCCCCCCCCCCTCCAAACAGAACAATTCTTCTAAGACACAAAAATGCTTGAAAGAGGGACATGACCACAAGAAAGGTGAACATCAGAACCAGGATATAGATGACAGAAGACTGCAAGAGCTAGAAGAGAGAATTCAAAGCCAGCTTCAAGAAAATAGAAAAACGATGAAGCAAAAACATTTTTTAAAAACCTAAAGAGACACAAGATAACGTAAGTGTAGACAGTCATTTCCATGTACTCATAGCAACCAGAAATTTCTAGGCAGCATTGGCCTGATCAAGCTCTATTGCATATAAACGAAGATAGCACAGATACTTCTAATCATTCTTTACAATACATGGTTAAAAACTTGTGAGAAATGTATATATACTTGAAAAAAAAAAAATATTGAAAACCTCACACAAAATAGACAACACTGATGGAAAAACATAACAAAGGTAAAAATGTGTCTCAAGCAAAGTGATAAAAATAATGCTGATAAATGGCAGTAGTAAATATTTTGTGTTTACATAATTATCTTCCATGCAATAATATATCAATGAATCTCTTCAAAACTTGAAATATTTCTTTTTAACCCATCAGGCTCAAGACCAAAGCATTTTATACTCATAAATGTCACAGCAACGTTACTTTCTAATCTCATTTTCCACAAAAACCTAGCATAACCACAGCTCAAGAATAAAATGACACATTTTATTTTGACGTGTAAATATGCAAGTGAAAATAAAACACAGAAAACAAAAGAAAAAAAAGGAAATCTCATCCACAAATATACAGAGAAAACTATTTCTCAACAGGGCTGAAAATTCCTCTCTAGTTGATGGAGGCTATTCAGGATGAATAGGCTCGCTTTCCATTTATAAAATCCTAAAAAACCAACATAATCATGTGAGCCAGCAAGGCTTCTATGGCTTTCTTATAATTTCTGGACCCTCTTCTTTAGATTGTTCTTCAACAAACTTTCTCCAAAAAATTACAAGAAACGTTCTACTACAACAGGACTGGAAACTGAAAAGTTGATGAGTCATATGGTACAACTGTCACATTACTTAAGTTCATCAGTATTAACTTACTTTGTCAAGCATAAAAATAGGAAATACACACAAAACATGATCCCAATACTTAAATGTAAAGTAGAAACAATTATAAGTATATTTAGCAGAGCTATAATTTGTAATGTTAAGAAATATCACCATTGTAAAGCTACACTTTGTTCAGAGCCTGTTCTATACAGTTCATTTCATATCCCTGAGCATCATTAAGTATGTGGAGGGTATGTGAAGCACTAAAGTTTGTCAGTCCATTTACCAGACACACTATTAATCCTAGGGACAAAAATACTGACAATAGAGCAATCATTAAATGAGACTTCCCCATTTCAACAAACCTCAACATAAACACTGATTTGATTAAAATCCAACCATTTTAGTGTAATGCAGTAAGTATACATTTCTTTTTCTTTCATCTTCTCGAGAAGCTGTGGCTGTTGCACTTCTACCGAGGCCCTTATGTCTGTGTTGGCTGTTTTTGTGAAGCTTTGGCTTGCGCCTCCTTTCTCTTCTCATACCATGGATGATCCTCCGCTTGCAGGCACCAGGGAGTGACGTCAACGTTGCATTCCAGGTACACATTCATCACAGTCACGGCAGTGTCATCAATGGTCAGCTGACTGACTGAGTCCACTGTGTACTCTACTGTAGTCAAACCCGTTTCTTTGTCCAGGCGCCGTGTTTTCTGCAATTCATATATCAACAGATCACAACCAGGCAACAAAAACAAAATCAAGGGGAAAAAATACCGCCCCTAAACTGCTCTGGAACAGGAGGTAAAACGATTAGATTGCTATTTAGACAATTTAGATGACTCGATTCAGAAGACAGAAATAATGTCTTCAGAAAAAAATCAAACGTTTTAGTTGATTTCATTTGCACAGCATAAAAATGGAAAATATGTCCACAGGTAACTGAATGCAGAGTCTTCAAAACTCAGTATCATAGTGTTAATTATTTCAGGAAAAAAATGATACAGAAAAGGAAGAAAGAAAATAACTCCTATCTTTGACCATTTGAGTAGTACAAAGCAATAAGGATAGTGCACATTAGTGTCATTAGGCATAAGTAAAAGGACTTAAAGATACTAGAAGCAAAAAGAAGAGAGAGATGAGAAATCTCTGATGAAATTTATCTCTATCAACAGACCACCATTAACACAGAAAAGAAAACTAGTCTTCATTCAAAGAAAACAACCTTCATGGATCTTTGGGACAACAACACAAATGAAAGCAAAGCATTTTCAGTAACCAGCTGTAAGACCACTACCACAAAACAATGTGAAATCCTAGAAGAACTTCAATCATTAAGTCAAATCATGAACTCTTTAGTTTAAGTAAGAGTTTTACCGAACTTGCAACACAATAAGGTCATATTAGTGCTGAAGATTAGACGAGTTACAAGAGAGTAACAAACACAAAAAAAAAGAAGGACAATAGATGTTTGCTAGGAAAGAAGGCGCAAACCACATCAGAGCACCCACCAACCATCTGCAAATCATAAAATCTAATGTTGGTATCCCATTTCAAAATAAAAGAAGAATTTTGAAAACGATATATTGGAGCTGCTACTGCTGAGTTGTAGCTTACAGTGAGAAGGCACAATAACAGCCTCAGCCCCCCTAGACCAGGAGCTAGATTATGATGACACATTGAAAACAAAAATTATTTATGAGTTTTAAGGAGCAGATGGCTATCTACAAGAAGATCAGACTCTACAACTAAACTTAAGGCTCTCTGAGATATTAAAACAGGCTACTTTACAAGTGCAGTGTAGAGCTACACAGGAAAACGATGAACATAATCAGTTGACTCTATGGGTATTGAATATATTTCACCTAAAAATAAAAAGGACTAAATCGCCGATGATCCCGAGAGATGTGAACATTTCTCATTTTCCAAAGACAGAAAGGTTGGCTAAGACAAAATGCATCAATGTAATTGAACAGGACAAAATCAATAAGCTGTGCAGAATAGAAACAAGGAATGTATGGTAGAAGCATTATTAAACAACTGCCTGAGAGATTATAGTGAACACACTCAATTAGACACAGTCCAACACACAATTTTTCCAATAGCAACAGACAACTAAATAAAGCACAACAATAAAAAGGTCAAGGAATCGATTAAGAAATGTGAAGGCATGTGAGACTTTAAGCTGGATAGCACAAGACTACAAAACAAAAAAGAACTAACAAGTTCACCTACCTCCCACTGATCATAATACTTGTGGCTGTCTCGTGGTCTTTTTCTCCTGTCATGGACATGTCTAAAGGATTTGTAGCCGGTGGTCAAATTGCCTGGTCTGCTCAGCTGGGACCAAAGAATAGATAATTTAAAACCATCTTTGCACCAACTACTAACTGGCACTTTCATAAATGACAGAAATAATTTTTTTCTATCGATTTGTTTCCATTGATATTAAGGGGTGAAATAGTTTTCAATTAAGGCTCAAGAGGTCAAATTGGAGCAGAAATACAAAGTAAAATGGGTTCATTGCTAAACAGAAAAATATGTCCTAACATTCTGAACTAGGAGCTCCCTCAGTGCGAGCTAGAATGTGTTGTAGCTAATATTCACAGCAATTCTCAATGATATTGTGCAAAAGGATGGTCAGTAATTTGGTACACAAGATCAAAACAAAATTTTACTGGCCTGAAACTTTAATCTGACCCTGTGCAGGAACCAAATGGGACTGAAAGGTGGAAGAGTCCATCAGAATATCTTATTTACATCTAATCCCTTTCATCACCAGGAAATCTTTTAAAACTATATTTCAGATGTACATAAAAATGACATGTTATTAAAACATGCTGACAGACAGATAAATAAATATATACACACAAAAATACACAAATATTTAATGAACACCAACCTGCAATTTTGCCTTCCTCATACGGACAAAGAACTCATCATCCTCCCTTCCCCAGCCCCAGTACTTGTTGGATAATCCGTTCAGCTGTTTCAAATTTTTAAAAAGAGAGATGAGCTTTATAAGAGGACTTAAGTCATTGCAGTAAGTCTTGTCCAGACACTAATATTGTATTATTGAGTGAGTTTTGCTGTTTCAGTAAAATGGAAAACAAGTGAGAGAAAACACCGCTGATGATCGTAATGGTACCACACAGCAAGCCCAATATAGAGAAACTAGGCACATATGAGCATATGTTGTATCATACATTATGGTAAGCCCATTGACAAAAATGCAACATTCTGGGGTAGCACAGAGAAACTATCTGCCAAGGAAATCCAAAAATAGTTTTTGTAACATTTCAACAGTTCATAATAATATAATGTTTTTCCATGCCATGGCATATTGTAACTCAGACAACAACAATTTACTTTACATTTAAAAAATGCTCTTAGTGATATGAAAACACACAAAACGAGATAAAAGAGTCAAACTGTGTCCTCTGATACAGATATAATCCCATAAGAGATTTTTAAGATGTAAACTCGTTCTCATGTCTTGGCTTTTTACAATCATGTACAAAAAAATCATCATGTGAGAATAGATGACACATACGTGCATAGACATAGACAGATGATTAAAAAGATTATCAGTCTCTCCAATGCACCTTATAAAAGCCAAAACATAGGAACTGCGCAAAAGAATCAAAGCAATAGATTATTCCCTTTTACAATCAAGATAGGTCTCAGTTGTTGTTTTTTAAGTACACCACATAGAGTTTAGAGAATTCTATCTACTTTGTTCAAACTCATTTTCATACATAAAGTGTCACTCAGTCTCCATTCTACAAAATTTTGATTTTCAGAAAAGTGTACATTAACAATTTTTTAATAATCTTGAAATCTACGGAAACATTCATTTTCCTTACTTTGAAGGGGTTTGAACGGAACATTCATTTGTACAAACATCCCTTTTTCTTCATGGCCAAACCAAATAGTTTACAGCCATTTTGTTGTGATAAACTCTACAGGAGAGGAGGGAGGAGCAACTATGGCATTGTGCCACCTGCAATGATGCCTATTCTCCAACCAAGTAACCAAGTAAGTAAACTCTACATATAAGCATAATATCTATCCTTCTTAAACATTTTCAACATGAGTCATGATACAAGCCTTCCAGACGATGGGTAAATTACTTTCTCCACAGTTGCTCTCCTGCAATACATTTTACTTAACAAATGTGAGGTATGTTGACAAAATGAGTAACTTCTCACAATCTAAGAATGGAGATATCTGCTGAAAATTGACACTGGAGTCAGATTTATAGATTTTCAATTAAAATGGCATTTTCTTTAATTCTACCGAGTCTTTTATTATTCCATACTTATAGATTGTGCAAACTCCACCTATATAGTTGACGTATCAATTTTCATAAAGCTAGATTCTGAGAAGTTACTCATTTTGTCTGCACACCTCACAAATCTTTTTGTTAACAAAGCATACAACTAAGCCTGCCGTTTTGCCCTACTCACAAGTGAGTAACAACTATGCAAAATGGTGAAAAAAAAATAGCATAATAAAACAAACTAGTTAAATCAACATCTTAATCTCAGAACACAGAGCCAACTCACATTGCAAACAGACTTACTTTACCATTTCAAAATTACTTTCATCAATCCAAAGAAATTCGAAAGCAGGAAATAATTAGAACTAACCATTTCAAAGTGCTTGCTTTGAAGCAACAAGATTCCTCCTACAAAAGTTTTGTAATGATACAACGGATGCAGCCATGGGGCAGCGACATGGAACGGCCCACTCTCAGGGAAGGCGTAGCTCAGCTCATCATTCATGGGGAGGAGGTCCACATCATGCATGGCAATGTAGTCACAGTCATGGCGTGTGTGGAGAAATCCAGCATTGATCAGGGAAGCACGATTGAACCTGCAGAACAACATTTAAATGAGGTCAGTTTTGATTACTAACATCAAAAAGTGGCTACACTTAAAATAACGAGAGCATCTAAAAAATTTTTAGATACAGACCTGCTGTCTGCTAACTGTTATAAGCCAAAGGCGTGCATTGCTATTTTCCTCTCCTGAGTGTATAAGGTGAGAGGAGTGCCAGGAAAGAACAGAATTCCCTATACATATTTGTAAGCTACAGACCAGATTATTATTTTTTAATTCACTGTGGAATAATTCAAGGTAGCATTAATAGGACCGAGGAAAGAAGCCTGTTTCCAAAGAGCATGGCAGTGAAAGAGGATTTTGCTATCTCAAGACCTTTAATCTGAGCCCAGGCATCATAGAGCTATAACAAAACCTTCTGCATTTTATATTAAGAACCAGAACCAAGGCCTTTAAGTCAATGTAATCCAGGATAAACACTGACTCTTAGCTTTACATGCATGGAGGGATCTTCACTCCAAAATGTTGTCAATATATAACAAACAAGAAAGCAGTTATCAAACATCTATATGATAACATTTTTAGCATATATATAAAAATTTACAAGTTATAAAATAAGAATACATGTGAGGCATCGTGGTGAAATCAGGCCCTCGTCAAAATATCGAAATCAAAGAAACTAGCGTTTTTCTGGCCGCCTGGAAGTTTTGTTCTATTTTTGTTTTATTGACTCAATACCTTTTACGTTCATTTAAAAACACATTTCTGTGAGGATTTTACCGAAAAAAATTGATTAAAGGCACAAAATATTAATTCTTTTGGTTTCCAAGGCCTCTTAAGCTAGGGAAGTTAGCAAACTTTGGCGACAATTTGTGATTTTCTTGATAATTTTTACCTCTGGAAACCAGATGATGACCCTCACCTCCTCTAAATGGCAAATATCTCAACTTCTATTATAAAAAAAGATGGATATTTTTTCCCCCAAGAGCATTTCAAAGCAAATGAACAACCTTGAAGATGATACCAATAACCCCATATGCCTAGAAATTGACGAGTGCCTGATTCCACCACATGGTGCCACATATTTTAATTACCTGTATTTATCAAGCTGATTAATAATCACAATTTTGTGGTTAACTTTCTGTCGCTCTAAGAATTTTCCGAGAAATGGGGCAAATTCCAAAAGCTCTTCAAAACGGTCTCGGAATGGAACCAGGATACAAAGCTTGTGGTCCTCTCCTGTATCAGGCTTTTCCTCGGAACCACCTTTCCTGACATCTGAAAAAGTTGGAAGAGCTTCATTGGAATCTGTTCATATTTTTGTTGGACATTCATATTATAAAAAAAAAAAATCCAACATTTGATAGCCTCCCAAGTTTAACTCAGTTTCATGGTTTAACCGTATGAGCCCTAGCCACCGATACACTGGTGACACGTAACACTGTCCATGGCCTAGCCACCCATACAGCACTGAGCGAGACCCTATCCCCAACCCGGCCAGTCTGGGACAAAATATGTTGCATGGGAAACCATAAATTTACTACACAGGATGTTATTGATATAATAATATCTTGAAGATCTTACCTAATTAGATGCCGGTAATGGCGAGGACTACCCTGAGTCTGAGTGGGATGAATGGAATGTGATTCAAAATATTAAAAGGATAAAGAATACAATGGCTCTACTTATTTGTCCATCCCTCATTAATCTCACAATACCAACAGAATGAAAGGCGTAATAGAATCTATCTAGATTTCAGGATCTAGAATCTAGATCTAGATCAAGACTCTAGAATAGAAGAGCCAGAGTTTTTATGATGAAACTTTACCTTCAACACCAACATCTTGACTTGTCTTTGTGGAAGAACATTGGCAATTCAAAAGTGAGCCATTCTGTACAAGGCTAAATCCATAAAAAGCAGCTACCAAGAAAGTGACAATCACGCCAAGCAGAAGCAGGCGAAATTTGGAGACAAAAGTTCGCCTGGCCATCCATTCAGTTTCAGTGACGTCCTCACAAAAAATGAAAAGCCTTACATCTGGAATCTAGAGAATGGAAAATAGATATCTAGATCTAGATCTAGATTTCTAGAAGGGTCCAATAATAATTCCTGTCGATCTCTAAAATCAGGAGTAATTATAATAAATTTGAGAGTAGATCTAGATCTAGATCTAGATCTAGATTTTAGATCTAATCTCGAGACGAACAGCAGAGTATGACTAGAGTCTAATGAAATGTCTATGATGGCCTCTATTCTATCTCATATCAACAATTCCAGATGAATATGATGAGAAGAGTCACACAGAATGAAAGCAATGGCGGCGAAAAGACTTCACCAGTTCAAAATCCAGAATTTCTCTGCTAAAAAAAAGCAACTAATGTATCCCTATCTGATATCAAATCTCATCGATACACAAAAAGGTCGAGACAGAAACAGAAAGTTGACAAAAACACTGATACTATGAAAACGTGTCTAGTTTCGTTTCTTGGCGGAAGTTGATCTTTCATTTTTGAGAAATTGAAAAGTGTCTAGGCTACCATCGTTCTTTATGGTATTCATACAATTAGATTGAGCTGAAGAGAGAGAGAGAGAGAGAGAGAGAGAGAGAGAGAGAGAGAGAGAGAGAGAGGAGAGAGAGAGACAGACAGACAGACAGACAGAGAGACAGACAGACAGAGAGAGAGAGAGAGGACTGTAAATTAACCTCTGTTGAAACATCTATATTATACATAGGATGGACGCTTTTGCCTTTCTGTTAGACAAGGGAAGATGAGCTAATAATCGATTTATTTGTTGTTGTTTTTTTGGAGTCAGGAATTCTGCTCTCAAACAGGCCAAGCTATGAAGTTTCGTATTTGCTATGGAATTATTAATTTTTCCCATCATTCAGAGGCTGATCACCTCTTATAAGTTTGTTTAATCGTATCTATATGTTCTATTGGTTGCTCCCAGGATATATATAATGATCATTCTTTCTGGCATTCTTCTGTTTATCTCAATCATACTCATACATGTAGCTTCAAGGCATAGATCTACAGGGTTGGATTTTTGTTCCACGCCTTGAGAATTTTTATTTTTTTTATAATGAAAAATGGGACAGAGATCATTGATGTAAGGGGGGGGGGGGGAGGAGGAGTATAAAGAAACGTTTCATCAAAAGCCTACCTGAAATAGTGCAACAACGTGCGCGTCTAACATACCAGATTAGACAAAAACAACAAATATATTTAAATAAATGTGATTTCTAAGGTCACGTAGGCCTATCGACGGTGCTTCTGTGTCCATGCTGCATAAAGTAACTGTATCAAAGCACGTGGACGGCTAATTAATACCTCATATCATCTTTATCACGCTCGAATCAAAGTCACGATGTTTATTTCGACAATGTGTTGAGCAATACTACTATTTTTCAGCTTCGGTCACAATAATCATAATAATACGTTACGTGGTCATTGAACTGTTTTGCCCTTTTGTGTCACTTAAAATGTTGTTTCGGTGACGTTACACAGGAAAATCCTTTAAATTTTTGTTTTGTTATGGATACGCCTCTGTTTTTCGTTACAGTTTAAGCTCAGTATAACTCCCCAACTTAATTGAAGATCTAGATATATGTCTTTATAACATCAATCTGAGCAGAAATGCTCAAGAGGACGTGTTATGTGAATGCTACAAACGGATGGGTTTGGTAACAGTAGAAGTCAACGCTACAGAGTTGTTGTTGTTTTTTTTACGCTTTTGTGATTAAGTAGCTTATGTCTGTAGCCTACAGTAGAAAAAATATATTATTATTATTATTATTTTAAATACTATAAAAAAAACAATATATCACCAGTGCTACTCTAATGAATAAGAAGAAGAAAGGGCGATCCGATGAGCAGTTTGGAGCTGAATCAAGAGCAGGGGAGAGGGGCAGGTGGCGTATGTAGAAGCAACAATTATACTCCATAAAGACAAGGTAAATCCTTCCTTTTGCCAGACTCTCGTGGCAGTGATATGAACGTGTGTTTGCAGAGAGCCGACGAGCATTGCAAGACAGCTAAGCAAAAATGACATTGCTATTGACTTATACATTATACTTATACTCTGATTTAAGAGAGCGAGAGAAAGAGGGGGGGGGAGAGGAATGGGGGAGAAAGAGAGGGAAAGAGAGAGAGAGGGGGGGGGGAGACAGAGAGAGAGAGAGAGAGAGAGAGAGAGAGAGAGAGAGAGAGAGAGAGAGAGAGAGAGAGAGAGAGAGTGGGGAGGCTGGGAAGGGGGCACATAATGTTATAATCGTGTACCCCACATGTATACGATTATGCTTTAACAGAGACACAAGTTTCTTTAAAGGGGGGGGGGGGGGGGGGCTACACCCCCAAAATCAAAATTCGGCTCAAAATCATGGAATTTGAGTTGTAGGCATTTTTAGCTTCTTCAGCCTCTCCTACAACTATTTCATGGCATACGAACCCCCAAAAACCGTATTTTTTCCCATACCGGGCATGTTTGTAACCGCCATTTCCTCATAAAGTCAGTATTTTACTTTTCTTTATCGGCCGTTTTCTCAAAATGCGACTTTTCTCTATACTTTTTTGAATAACTCCACCATTTTTCATCCAATATTCATGAAATTTTCACAGAATGAAGAGAAGAGGTAACACTAAAAATTTTTCTGTTGAATTTTTGATATATGGAATAGATTTTTGTTGGTGGTGTCTGGAGTGTGGATTTTCATGGATTTTGCGCAAACTTGAATGCTACCTCAGGAAAAAATTCATAAAATTTTTTTTTATTCGATTAGGAAAAAAACAACAGACAAATTTTTAGATCTAATGTTTGTGAACACGCATGCAAAAAAACAACAATAAATTTCCATGAGCGATAAGTGTGGTATTCATTACGTAAGACATGTCAATAAAATCCAATATGGCGGCGTATCCATGGAAACGAAACTTTTTTCTCAAATTTGATTGTGGATTTTAAGATTCCTTACTATGCTTGTTATATGTGTGAAATTTGGTAAAATTTGGTCCAGTAATAAGCGAGATAGCCTCCAGGTGTAGCCCCCCCCCCCCCCCCCCCTTAATTCAATGACTAAGAAGCTCTTCATATTAAACAACACGACGTAATCATATGATGTACATTAAAGAAGTGATGGATTTTTTTTTCATCATCTATTTTTCAATTACATATGCATTGCTAAAAGACAGGAGTTTATAGTTATTTGTTTTAGGGCTTACGTTATACAGGGTGATTAAAAAAGAATACAACAAAATCATCACGCCATATTATTATTATTTAAAAAACGAAAAACATTAGAACCACCAGCTTGGATACATGTGTTGCATAATATATACCTTCAAGTATTCATTCCATGTTTTACAAGTGCTCAATGTAGCCACCACTGGCAACGCGTGCAACATCAAGCCGGCCTGAGAATTCCTCCCGAGGGCGCCTCAGGATGTCTTGTTGTTTTGTTTTTGTAAGTGTTTTACGGTGCTCGCAACTGCATAAGGTCATATGAGCTCGTGGGACACATTAAACTTTTTCAGGTGGTAGGAAATTTTGAATTTTTCCGGGTGGCGGCCGAAGCCTACTCTTATCGATTTTAGACCACCAAGGGATCTTTAACGTGCGCAATTTGCACTCGGGCAATTCGAGATTTTTCGCCCTTGTCCGAGAAGGCTAGATGTACATCTTTCCTACTGGAAGATTATGGATGTGGCTGAAAGACAGCAGTAAGAAGAAGCCAAGGAGTAGCAGTAAAAAGGCTGTAGAAAGAATCAGGATCCCAGAGGAGGGGGGCAAAGGAGATGAGGGAGTGGAGGCAGAAAGAGGAGACGAAAGCAGACGACGAAATATTGGAGGTGAAAAGAGACAAATTTAGAGAAGAAAATTTCTCGGTCACTACCCGGATTCGAACCCGGGACCTTTGAATGAGAGGCCAACCCCGTAACCTCTATGCCACGAGAGCCCCCATCAGGATGTTTGAGTCCACCATGTTGATTGTAGCTGCTATTTGATATTTCATGCTATCGACATTTTCTGAACTGGTAATTAAAAGTAGAAAAACCATCGAATAGGTTGCCACCTTGTGAAAGAAAATAGGTCAGTTTTGCCAGAGGGTGGAGGTGGGGGAGGGGATGTAGCGATGACGTTTTAACTCTTTGCGTGCCCATCTGGTTGGCTATAATTATCCCCCCCCCCCTCCCACCTTGGAACCCTCCACTTGAGGCGAGTGCCTGGAATTATCCCCCCCCCCCTCCCAACCCCTTCCGTTATCTCCCCTGTAAATTAGACCCATTTTCTTTCAAAAAGTGGCGACCCATTCGATAGTTAGTTTTTGTATTTTTAATTATGAGGTAAAACGAGTCTGGTAACCTGTCTCTCCTAACATTCCCTTCAATCCGTAGCATTTGCAACACACTGATTTGCTCAACCGTGGAAATCAATTTTGCAGGGAAAGAGTTAACCAGACCAACTTCATTCAGAAGGTAAAGTAACTCAAAGTAATTAGTCGGCCATAACGCACTGCTAATATCATAATACATCTCGTTCTAAGAATTCTCATAATTATCGAGCTCAATTTTTAGCATCTGTTAATTTTTTTAAAAATAATAATAAAAAAGTCCGTAACCTGTAGACAGTGTTTGATTTCACTTGGGAGCTCCAACGAGAAGTTATTCGAATCAAGCAATCGCAGTTTGTCCTCAATCAGATATGACTGATAGAATCTATAGTAAATTTCGTTGTGGGCGTCTGCATTATTTCCAACTTTCCAATTTACCCTCGATCAAGGGAAGTAAACATTCAAAAAATGTAATATCAATTGATGTTTTCCTTTTTGTGTCCCTTGAAAAATAGTGCTGATGTCAGAATGATGTCATTTCACTGCTTTATTTGGCCGACTGAATTTCATTGAGTGGTTGAAGAGAATTATTAGCCATAAAAGTAGGCCTACCGATCTACAGCAGTTTGCATTTCCCAGAGATTAAGCTACATGACTTGTTCTTTTCACTTTCTCCAGCATTTTGTAGCGCAGATAGGGGAAGTAACAAAAATGTTTAAAAAGTGACAAAATGTATAATTAATTGTCATTTTTCACGTACCGTACAGTCTTTTTCAGGCAGACTGTTTTGTCTTACGCCCAGACGTTCAACAGTTGGGTGGTTAATATTAATGGAAAGCATGTAGAATAAAAACTCCAGCTTACCGCTTCACGAGAATTAATCTTCTTACGCTTCGCCCACCACATACATTTTTGTCTCCGGACGGATATGCATTAATGAATTGCTTGCTCGTTTCCTTTCACCATCGTTTTTTATAGTTCTTCCAGGTCGCCTGTGTCGTTGAGCGACGATCGAAGTGAAGTGGATTTTCTCACACATGTTCGATTTTTGGGTTATTGGGGGGAGGGGGGGGGGGGGGTGTTTGTTTGATTTGGTTTGTTGTTGTTTTTTTCCTTTTATATTTTTGATTTTTTTGGTA